GTAACCAGCAATCCGCTGCTGCCTGACGCCTTGAAAGCCCAGGCGGGGTAGGGCACGGGTGTTTGCGACTAGGCGGGATGAGAGGTAATCATAGGGGCATGGATGAATACGCGCGTGCAACATATGTGCAGGACTGTACATATAGGTTTGTACACGTGTGCCATGGAATTCACACACACTTGTCAGCTGCCGTCGCTGCGCGAGCGCTCATGACATATGTATGTGTCTGTGTGTCTGTGTGTGCGCGTCTGTGTGCTTGCATGTATGGGGCACCCGCGTGTGAAGCATACAAGTTTGTGTGCCCATGTTTGCTACGATTGTGTAGACGCACATGTACTTTTGTACGCGCTTGTTGGCTGCCCAAGGTTTCGTGCCAGGACCCTCTATGAGCAGTGCTGGACACCGACAAAGCAAAATTCCTGGGGCATGAGTCGCCCTTCACCAGACACAGCCTCAGGCAAAGGGTTGCCGCCCTTCCACCAATTCACCGCTGCAAAATTCGAGGGGCGCCCTCTATAATATCCAACTTTGTTTGGCAGGCTCCCTCTGTAATGGTCAACCCTCAGAAGCCCCTTTCATCGGTTGCCGGGGTGCCTGCTCCCAGGTTGTCAACGTGACCGGCGAGCACATGGATTGCGTCATGGAGTACGCCCCTGCCAACATGGAGCTTCGCTTGGACAAAGGTATCAACAAGTTGGACCATGTGTCTCGGATGGTTTGGTCGGTTTTAGCATTGAAAGGGTAACCCACCCTAAGAATGCCAGCAGAAATCGGTACAAGGGCGTAACCTTGGCTGCCGGGCGACTCTTGAAGTTGGATGGTGGCCAGGCTTGGCCTTGCCTTGACCAGGTTGTTGCCCAAGCCCACCATTTCAGGGCGCATCTGGAGTTAACTCCAACCGCACTCATTCCGATGATGAATGCGGAGGGATGGCAATGTAAACCCCAATTTATCCGTCCGCATCCAGCCATTTGTTTTCCACCGAACGGGGCCTGCGTGTCTATGGTTCTCATGGGTCAATGACGGAACCTGGAGATGGCGTGATGATCCACACTGTCCAGAAACTTCCTCATCACTTTCAACCCAGGTTCGCATGGGGAATTGGAATGAATTGCTCACAAGGAGGGAAGCATCCCTTGGCCGTCGTTTCCGAAAAGGGCTGCGGAGTTTGATGGGAGGTTGCGCTTTGCAGGTGGTGTTCGGGCTTGTTTCCAAATAGCGGGAATTCTTATTTTTTTTGAAAACTAGGTTCCCTGTTGGTCTTCCTTGGAGCAGGTTTCTTAATCTCTAAAAGTAGACCACCGTGTTTGTGGCCATGCCCAGGTGTATAGTAATATCCTAAGACTGTAGGCCCCATTCGCTTTGAAGTTCCATGTTTCTTTCACACGGTAGATGAGTGAAGCGGGACTTGCGAGGAGAGGGCCCAAAGCGTGTTGAAGGCGCTGGTACGGGTGTCGGACATGGGCTTATAATGTGGAAGATGTTTGTTTCCAAACTCGGGTTCATTTTCAGAGTTGAAAATGGGGCAAACGCATCGAGTAAGTGAAGTTTGATACATGCAAGCATCTTTGAAACAGCTTTCCCAGCTGCCGGTGTTTGGAGGCCAATCAAGGGAGCCCGGGGCAGCTTGGCAAGTGTGTGGTTTTTGAAGCAGTGCGAAGCTGCTGCGGCAGACGTTCAGTTGCTTTAAAGGGTCTGGTTTTTCTGTTCGCCAGTGCGACAAGCTTGACTTGCCCCGAACACAGTGAGCCATTACTTGGGTTTCCCAAGTCCAAGTGTCGGAGGCTTGTCCATGAGGGTTCGATAGTCACAAGTCATCTTCCTTTGAACCCAACCAGGGAAACGAAGCAGAACTTGCAGCAAGCCCAGGTGTGGTTTTTCTGCATGTTCACACAACGACCCCCCCATTTGCCCCTTTTTACAGGGATTCTTTGCAAAGGGCCCTGAGTCTTGTTTTTGTTCTGGAAGACAAGGAAGGGGTAAACAGGTGGCACGGGCCCTTTGCTGCGGGCTTTTTGCGCGGGATTGCTTGCTTCTGCACAATCCTTGAGAAGGCCTTTACTCGGGCCCATGGTGCGGGGAGCATTCGCTTTTCTTTTCCCAGGGTTCATGCAGGCTTGGCAGCCAACCTCCAAGCGCCAGGATCTGGGGGCTGGGGACCTCGCAACCCCCATCTGCGAGCTTTGGAAGGTCTTTTTGAGTGCCAAGGTGTGGCTCACGTTGCGTGCGTCGTTCGTGGTGGTGTTGCACCCAAAAAACCCAATGGTCAAAAGTGTTTGTCTAAATTAATGGATCGGATAACCCCCACATGCCTATCCTTTTGTAAAGTGAGTGGATTTCGAGCGAGTGAGGACAAGTATGGGTAAGTTGAGTGAGTGAGAGCGAGAGTTGTTGAAACCATTTTTTGGTTAAGGTTGTACAACAGGGTGGGGGTATGTCATGGAGGATTATCGCAGACCATTTGTGTGGGTTTGCGAGGTCTGTTCCCCTCGCTTTGATAGCAGAGTGTGGGAACCCAAAGTCAGTGAATGTCGACAGTTTTGGCCGGGAGCGGCCGCGCGCGTGATCGTTTGCAGCATATTGGACAGGACTTCAGTCACTTGCATCGCGAAATAAACGTGTCAAGATCCAGCAGTCTAAGGCCAGGGCCTGACAACCTCCAAAAGTCGTTGCCAGACCCCGCGGTTGTTTGAGGGAGGGAGCAAGTTGCCGCCGCGCTGTGTGAGCTAAGGTTGGACGCGGTCGTTTTTTGCTGGCAACTTTTCCCTACCCGTGCTTTTGCCCCCGCCCAAGCCGACCGCTGAGTGCAAACCAACGCGCAGCTGCGCAAAGTATTGCGCCAGCCACGCAGTTGAGCTGAGCGCTCCGCACCAACCAGTCTAAAGTACTGCGCCTGCCACACGCAACCGAGCGTCGGCGCGCACAAAGCATTGCGCCTGCCACTGCCACACAAACAAGCATCAGCGTGCACAAAGCACAGCGCAAAGCACAGCGCCTGCCGCGCGAACAGCTCAGGCTCTCCGGACCAGTCCAAAGCGCAAAGTGCCGCGCCTGCCGCGCAAAATGCCACGAAACAGAAAGGCGCTCGAAAGCAGGCCCGTCCAAAGTTAGCGCATGTAAGTTGGGTGAGTGAATGAAAGTATGTGTGTCTGTGAGTTAGTGTCAGGAGCCACTGTGCGCAGCTGAGGTGAGAGTGTGTGAGCGTGAGAGTGGCTGGAAGTCAGTGGGTGTAAGTTGAGTGAGAGCCAGAGTGGGTGCAAAGTAAGTATGCGTAAGATGCGCAACTTGAGTGGGCATTCGGAAGTGTGTGTATACTGAGGTTACGCGAGTGTAAGTTGACAGTGTGTAAGTTCAGTGGGAGTGACAGCGGTTGTAGGCAAGTATGTGTAAGTGGAGTGAGTGATGGCAAGTGTGTGCAGAGTGAGAGTGCAAGTCAGTGCGTGTAAGTGAAGCGTGAAAGTATGTGTGAATAGGTTGAGCAGGAGTGATGGACACGCAGAGTAGAACCACAAAGTTGGGGTCAAGTGAACAAACAAACAAGCAAACAAACAACCGAAAGAATGAACGACCGAACAAACAAACAAGCAAGCAAGCAAGTAAAGGCAGCGCTTGGTTTAACAGGTTTTATGATTCCCAGCCACCAGGTCATAGTCAAACCAAAACCGCCGACCTGTGATTTGTCTTTGGGATCGAAAAGGGCCCACGATGTGGAATTCCTTTGCTTGGGGCGTTCTTCATCTTCCTGTGGCGGAATCGTATGTTTCACTGGATGAAATTCCGACACCCGTCAATAAAATTGTATGTTTTCCTGGGATAAATGGTCAATTTTTGGTTTGGCAAATTGTATGTTTCCTTTCAACAGGCCGACGTGATCCGATTGAACCCATCCCTGGCCTCCGCCCAAATCTCTGGCAGGGTTCCCTGACTGTCCGCCCCTTAGTTTTTTTTTTTGGAAGGATGAAGAAGGGCAGTTGAATTGCCTGACGGGATTCCCTCACATGCTAACATTGGTTTAATAGCCAGACTTCTACACTAGGGGTGGTTGACTTCATCAGCCCCAATTGGGGAGTTGTTCAAAGGCCAACCCCTGGCTCGTCTTTTGTTTTTTGTTGCATCACGTTGGTGCAAAGCCTTGCTCATCTCACGTTCCAAGGGGGCTAGACCTGCCTGGCCTCAGGGTTTGCCAGTGCTGCAGTGCCACATCTCTTCCATTCCATCAAGGCTCGCAGGAGTAGTGTTTGTTTCCATCGCTATAGTGACCCCTTGCTTTGACTTTTTCACGCAGGGCTTTTTGAGCTTCTCTTCGTTTGCTCTTCCAAGTTCGAGGGACGGTGATGACTTGTCAGTGCAACCGAAAGGACCCGTTGCTTAAAATAAATGGTTCCCCACCGAGTCATTGAGTGAAGCTCATGGCAAAGGCCTCGCACGCTCTTCCACATGCCGGTTCCGGTGAGGTTGGGAAGGCGTGGCTGCGAGTCCAGGGGGGAGCTAGTGCTGCCTGCGTCCTAGTTCGAGAACTGCGGCAGTGATCGGGGGGGCTGTCCCTATCCGCGTTGGAGTGAGCAAGCGGTTCGAGGGGGGTTTCCATGCACCCCCGAATGTGATCTGTTTTGGAGGCAGCAGGGGAGTGAGCGCAGGTTTTGCCAGACAGGCCAGCGGCTATGCCCGTTCCTTCTTTCTTGGCAGGATTTGTGGGGCCCGTTGCTTCGCTTCCCGCGCTCGCGTGAGGCGTCGAGCGGTTCCCCTGCAAGCCCAAAGGACCGCAGAACAAGTCGGCGGGGGCGCCGGGGAAACCGGGGTTCATCGCGGGAACAAAGCCTTGGGCAGGGGGCCAACATGGGCACGCTGAACAACCGTTTATAAAGGTCCTCTTTTGAAGAAAAACACGCTCAGGGGCTGGGGACATGAGCCCCCCATGTAAACGATGTCCACCAAAGGGCGCGTTTGATAGAAAGATTGATGTCCGCGCTGATTTTAGAGCCGCGAGGTGAAACGAGCTCACTCATGATAAAGGTCCTTGACCTAGGGGTTCCTCAACGGGCTGTTCAAAGGCAATCCCAAAGCCATACCGCATGTAAGCCGTTTGCGTTGTTTGTTTCAGGATGGTTGATCAATGACCTTCATGTTGAACGATCGAACTGTATGCGCAACCCATGCGCGACCCATATGGCTTTAAACGGGGTGCTGTCCTTTTCATGCTTAAGACGGGGTGGGGGGGTTTTGGATTCCTACTAAATTTGACAGAGGGCCGTTGCACCCTGCGGCAGTTTCCTTTTGGAGACCGGGCCCTTGGCGGGCCTTTATAGTCACGGCAACACTATGAATGACGCTTTCCACCTGACGGCCTCGGGAGGAAGCCTTGAGTACAAACATAGATTTGCAGAAGTTGTTTAAACGTAGCTCCAGTTTTCAGCGCTTCAATCCAGGTCGGTTGCGTGGAGGATTTGAAGGTTAGCTTACTGCTTCATAGTGTAAATAATCCGGATGCTCTAGCCCAAAAGTGGGCCTAAGAAAACATAGCCAACTAAACAGAGGGCCTGACCTCAACTGGGTTCCTAAATCCCCTCCTGCAATTTCTGACCCTTTCGCTTTCTGCTGGAACCAATGGTCGGAAAGGGCTTGCAACTGAGCATGCGGCCCAAAAACAAGGAGCTGCCGGAACTATACACCAGTTCAGCGCGCCCTTTTACCGTTTTTTGGAGGAGGGTCCCCTATTAAAATATACTACAGAAAAAAGGGTACCCTTGTTGTAGTAGGTGAAGAACCGCGCCAATAACTTGAAGGCAACGCAGGAACATGTGGAAGCAGAACACGATTCGCTCGGGTATATTTGTACCGTTGCTGTCACGATATTGCACACATTCTGCTGTGTCATCTCAAAGTAAAAGCGCTTGATCAAACAATGCCTAATCTTCGGGCGCGGGGTTTTTTGGGACGGGGAAAAGGCTGGACATTTCGATTTCAAATCTTCGTGCGCCTTTCAAATCTTCGGGGAGCTTATTGGGGTCGCTTAGGGATGGGGAAAAGCCGTTGGCGAGGGACGCTGAGAAATAGGGTAAAGGCGGGAAACTGCGATTTCAGATCTTGGAGTGTTGTTGGGGAGCAAAAGGCTGGCAATTGCGATTTCAACTCTTCTGCCGTTGGGGAGGGACACTGAGGAATTGCGGAAAAGGCTGGAAAGTGCGATTTCGAATCTTCGTGCCCCGTTCGGGAGGGACGCTGAGACGCTAAGGAATTGGGGAAAGCTGGAAATTGCGATTTCAAATCTTCGTGCGCCGTTGGGGAGGGACTTGGGGATGGGGCAAAGGCTGGAATTTCAATGCATCGCCGGGTATTCTTTCTGATTAATCTCAGCATTGGACCCACAACTGGCATCATACATCAGCATGTTTCCATACACGTACGTTGTGATTGAAGAATCAACGATTGATTGCATCTATTGAACATCAGTTAGTTGCAGTAGCATGTGCCTAGAAAAGATGCACGGTGTTGCTAGCAATAGACTGCATAGTGTCAATGCTCGCCTATACTCCCGAGGGTTGCCGTCACCCACGAATCCACCCTTGTCCTGCCCGGGGTTTTGGTTTAGTGTTTTGGCTTTCCCTGAGATATGCCTGCGCCGCAAAACAACGCCCCGACGCCCGAACCTAGACTTCTTTGAGACCTAATCCGCCTGAAGAACTTTCCGTCTTCGCTACCACGTGCTCGACTTCGTCATAGCCAAGGGCTAGGGCAGAGACGGCGGCTGATGAATGTGCCGTTCGGACAAAGCTAGCCGATACTTCTTGAGCTTCTAAGGCATGCACTAGCAGCTTGCCTGCAGAGGGTTATTTCCTTCTTTTAATCTTAGCTTCCCATTACTAAACTCAGCATTGGCAATACTAAAGAGGCAATATGAAAGATGGCATTGTCAATACTTAATCTTAGGCCCCCAGCATTTCCAATACTAATTGAGTGTTTGTCAATGCTTAATCTGAGGTTCCCACTTTTAAACTCAGTATTGCCAATACTAAATGCAGTATTGTAGCAGGTGAATTTTCGGCTCCCATGTGCAAACCCAGTGCCGCAAAAACAACATTGAGTATTGCCAATATACTAAATTCAGTATTCCCAACACTAAGTTCAACACTAAGTTCAACACGGTCACGCACTGTCAATACTCAATCTTACGTTCCTTTATCAGCATCGCCAATACGAGAAATTTTGTATTGTCAATATTTAATCTTAGGTTACACATCCCCACAGTGTAACTGTGAAACTAAACATGGAAGGGGTTATTGCTCCCCGGGTTCAAATCCGACAACAGTTTAAAAAACAGCGGCGCCACAGCAACGCCTACACAAGGTGCACATCCAAACAAGACCGACCGGTTTCACGTCACCCCCCACCATGCGACAGAGATTTCATCCTCAAGTGAACTCAGCCGACTGGGGGGTGATGTTTCCTGCCGACGAGACGTTGTCCCTCTCCGTCAGCCCTGAAGTGAACAATGTTGAACTTGAAGAACGAAGATACCCGGAAAGCGTCGAAGCCCGCTTTGAGAACATCCAACCGCTGGTTTCCGCAGCGTCTTCGCAAAGTTCAGAGAAGCACAAGTCCAGAAGACTTGAAGCCGCAAGGAACGAGAACCCTTCTTGACGTAGGCGACGCCGGAGATTCTCAAGGCACAACACCATACAGCGATGACGATCCTGAAGTGCAGAGCTCGCATATGATGATGCACATTGGTACTATCTGACCTCTGGCCAGAAGATATGGCCAAGCACCGGAGCATTCACCCCCGGATTTTTTTTTCAGGAGCGCCTGCCGGGGTAAAAAGTTCTTTCCGTCCAAATGCTCGTTGTGTTTATTCACATAAAGAAATTTCGGAACAAGGACAGTGTTGACGTGTAACGAATATGCAATATTATCCTTTGTTTTTCACAAGAACCCCTGAAGGCTTCTACCACATCAACTCTTCTTGGGAAGAGGAAAGGAACCCGCAGCATCCGCAAGCAGAGCCTGCAAAAAGCAGTTTGTCGCGAATGTCAGCCATGGTTGGGCAACGAAGTTTTCGACCTTGTCGACACCGGAAAGCTCAAGGAACGAGAAGGGGACACGTCACAAACAAATGGCCTTGCCCCTCAGCCTGACAAAGAAGGAAACTTCCTGCAGATCAAGGCGTGCTCGGTTCTCTCAGAGGGCTTCAGGATCAACAAAAAGATGAACAGCAGCCTCAGCGGCCAACAAAGGCTGGAACATGTTGCACATGGCTCTCAAGACCGCAGGTCTTTTGAAAGCGAACCGTGTGATCAATCAAGAGGTCATATTTGTCAGATTCCTCCTGAGATGGAATATCCACCTTCTTTTGGTGCGAGAATGAAGTAGCCAGCTTATGCCCCCAATCATGCGCCCAGAAGATGGTCGAACATCCTCGGCTCGGCAATTTTTTGTTGGGCTGGCGCCAGCTGGCTGACAGGTGTGCTTACGCGTGCTATGGCTTTTTTTCCAAAGCCACCCAGCACATCTGAAAAGCAGACATTGAAGACATCATGTTTGTGATCTTTGAAGGGCAGGTGATTGAGATGCTATGGCTGGTCACATTTGGACAGACGCCAGCAACCTCGTGACAGACAGCTTCAGCTACGCGTCAGACAGATCAGAAGGAAGCTATGCGTTTGATGCAGTGGCTTGGAAAGCAAAGCAATAGTGGTGCACGTCCGCAGTGAGGACTAGTGTTTGAGTGTTGCCCAGCGTCGAGTGTTCCAGTGCTGCGCAGGTGTTGAGTGTTGCCCAGAGCACCAGTGTTGCCCAGTGTTGAGTGTTCCAGTTGTCCGGATTGCGTGTTCCAGTGTTGCTCACTGTGCGCTCCAGATAAATTGCCGTTTGCTGACTACCAAAGCCTCAAACTCCGAACGGCCATGTTCACTGCGGGCGTGAATGTGTAAAGCCGCAGCGGAGTGAAGGAGGTGAGTTGATAAATGCGGTCCTGTCAGGCAGCCTCTTCAATGCCGACACACGTCCGCCAATTGGCAATAGCGCGCAGTACGAAACACGGCCCTGATATCATCGCATTCGAAGGAGTTGGGCAGAGAGAGGCAATGTTTGCTTACTGGGGCATCAAGCGTGTCCTGGCTGGCTCGAGCCAATGGCTCAGGGTCGGCCAGCGGCTCTGCCTTTGCAAGGTGAACCCGCTGCGCAGAGTTCATGGATGCGCTCGCGGGAAGTGGTGGCCTCTGACCACATCAGCAGTGCGTGCTGGTCACTGTTTCGTGACGCATGGCTGGAGCTTGCCGCAAAAGAAGGAGCCAAAGACACCAAAGACATCAACGGCACCAAAGGAGCCAAAGAGAACAAGCGGCAGAGTTCGAAGGATACACATTACTCGAGTCACCATGACCACAGCCAAGAATCTGACAACCGCGATAATTCCAAGGAGAAACCAGTCACACCGAGGCAACGACGAAGTTGGAACAGCGATGTATTCAAAATGGCAAACCGCCGCCGCATTTACACCAGGCCGGAGAAACACACACACACACAGTCGCACAGCGCCTCTTTCTCAGACCCGAGTAGATGTTTTCAAAACTCGCGCAAAACAGAGTCTCGTCCAGTATCACACTGGCCAAAGCACACAAGTAATTAGATGCTGAAGGTCAAAAAAAGTGTGTCTGTTTTGTTCTGTGGTCTCCAGATGCTTGAACCTCATGCAGTCGCATGTTTTACGCAACCATTTGGCCCAAAAGCCACGCTGTTACAGCGCAATCTGCAGCCATATAGAGAGAAGGGACTCCTGGCTGTTTGTGCTGATAAACACCCATTGAGAATACCGAGATGATCTCCAGCGAGCATCTTCAAGATTCCTCAGCCAACTTCCCTCTCATCCGGGAACCAAGTACGACTTGCCAAGTACCATTGGTTGCCCCCAATCACCCCCGGCTGAGACGTGCAACCAACCAAAAATCCCGACCGCTGCGCACTACGCAGTTTCGGTGCTTGTCGCTACTGTGTCCTGGAGGATGAGCTGGAGAAACTCAACCAGCTCGAGGAGTGGAACCTGCGATTGCCAGAAGACCTGCCTCTAGACGCCTCTCAGACGGAGGTGGGAGGGTGGGGATGTCGAAGGCTGAGGCTGTTGAGTCCCTCGAATGAAAAGGTATTGGGCGAGCTTTGTCAGCAGCCCAAACGCATCCTTGTCCGGAACGCTGTGAACTTAACCCCTAGACGAGTGACGAGACCCTGATAGCACGGAACCGATGCGACCTGAACGAGCGCAAGCGAGAGTGTTTGTCTCAACCACGCCTACAATGGTGGTTTCCGTGAAAGTTTCGCAACCAGGCCGTGCAGTTCCTGGAGGACCAACGGGTGGCCATGGTGCAGGGCCCCCCAGGCTGTGGCAAGACTCGGACCGCCTGCGCGCTGCTAAAGGCACGGTCTCAAAGCCACATCCTTCAATCCTGGACCCCAATCGACCGGCACAGCTTCCTTCTTGATGTTTTGCGTGGTAGACTATTTACAGTTACGTCGTGACAAATAAGTAAAGTTTTTTCAATTCAAATATTAGATTCACGTGGAAACCCTGCTGTTGAAGAGATGTTGTTTTTGTGCTTTTGAGGGAGCTGCTGTGTTTTTCGATGCAACCCAACCCACTGCCTTTACGGAAGATGGGAGTGTACTAAGTTTGGGACCGGTGGGGTAGCGCCTTCTCAAACGGCAACAGCTATGGGGTCGGAAAACCAATCTTGTGTTTGGAGGTTTCCGGCAGGTTTGGGGGAGGCAGCTGTTGGACACCTCCTGGGATTTAATTGATTTTTGGTCGTGTTTTCTTTCACGTAAGCTTTCTGGTAGTCTTGGATTGGTAGTTTCGGGATTTGAAGCCCCAGATCCTTTGGAAACCAAAGCTGTCTTTTTTGTGACATGTTTCTCTTGGCCTGCAATGCTCTAAAGCCCACATCATGTTCTTGGGCCCTTGGGCCAGTTTCGACAAGTATTGACGCTGGGAGTTGGTTGCCCTTTGAGAAGAGGGGGGACCAACAATGCTTGTTGGTTTACTGCATGGCACGTTCGCAGCACCTGCAGGGTGTGGAGGATTTTGGCTACAAGGGTAGAAGCTTCTTGTTGTTAACGCAGGACCTGTTTCTTTTCTCACGAGGAAGGTAGCGAAGCAGGTAAACCAAATAACTTCTTTCGGGCCATGGCGTGATTGGTTGATGCGCAATTCGCCCATCTTTGGCCCCTTTCGTTCGCGTTAATGCACACCCATTTTGAGCTGGAGAAGAACGCAAAAGAAGGAGTCCTCGTCAAAAAAACTGTTTGCCGTAGCGCCACCCTCTGAGACAGAAGCACAAGCCGCAACCGTGGCAAACAAGCACTTTGAGGAGAATGCAACGAGCACACGGAAACAAAGCAGAAACAACAAGCCGCTCAAACACACAGACACGCAACAAACAAACCACCCTAACAAATCCAGCTGCGCTGTGTGTCTTCGAGCCCGCAGAGCGAGGGCAACCCTACCCGTAGGGTATACCACCCTAAGAAATTGAACAAGACAAGCAGCACAAGAGCCCACCAACTGCGGCTCGGGGTGGGAGTTGTGCATAAAAGGAAGCCAAAGGCGCACCACTGGTTCGTTTGTTGCTTTGGTGTTTGGTCTGAAAGCTGGCCGCCCCTGTCGCCTGATCGTTTCTGCCAGCTTCCCTGCAGATGTTCGATGGAGGTTTGGGCTTGCAAGACCATCCCCAAAGCGGTCCTGATCTGGATCGACGGGCAGCTTTCTCTGAGTGTTTTTGTTTGGGGGGACTTAAAGCGAAGCCGACATGGAGACGGAACATTTTTGTGAGAGAGAGCGAAAGAAAGAAAGAAAGAAAGAAAGAAAGAAAGAAAGAAAGAAAGAAAGAAAGAAAGAAAGAAAGAAAGACAGAGAGACAGAGAGAGAGAGAGAGAGAGAGATAGAGCGAGCCAAATTACCCGAACGGCACTCCTAATGTGGCTGGTTGCCCAATCAAAGCCAGCTGCTGTTTCGTTCGGTTAGTTTCTTTGGAATATTCTTCAAATCAAATTGCAGGGTCTTGTCCAATCACACTTAGATGATTGGATGGGCCGGGAGGACGAATCGCTACGTTGTTAGTTCACCCCACCCCCAGCAATTGCCACATAAACAAATTGTTGACCCGAGTTGCAAGGGTGCACAAGGGGGTCAACTCAAAGATGCATAGGGCACCTCCAAAAGACACAAGCGCAAGCACGCACGCACGCATGTGTGCACGCACTCACTCACAGAATGGTTTGCAATTGGGAAGTAGATGGCGCGGGCTTCCGCTTGGGCTTCATTTTGGTTTTTGACGCACAGAAAGGGAATAGTGCCACCTACTTTCTTTTCACTCTTTTGGGTTTGCCGCCTTGCTTTCTTTACCAAATAAGTCACTCAACTGACAGAATAGCTACCCCCCAAGTGGGTCACAGATCGGTTCCTTGTAAAGCAGGTGATTTGTGGATGCATCCAACCAGGAACCCTGTCCTGG